GGGGGAGGGGTTAACAATCTGGAGGTAAATGACAGTGGTGCTTGCACAAGGTCCATGTACTCGATGTCACTAAATGTTATTAAGGCCAATGTCACAGAACTGTGCATTCAAAACTGATGAAACAAACCACTTTCTGTACATTTTAACTCAGCTTTATCAAGCTGATTACTAAGCTGAATCAACTGTATTAATTTACCTTTTCGTGCGTTGTTCTCTTCTGTTTCATTCAAAGGTAGCCTCCAAACTACAGCATCTTTAGAAAAATCCTTTGGGCATAAAAGAAAGAAGTAAGACTGAATGAGCTTAAATGACCACTAACAGAGTCCAACCATAGCCATCTGAGCACTGGGACCTACGAAGGCAGGTCTGCACATTTCATTTACTTCATTCCCAGCACTACACCTTTCCTAGGTACTCTGAAGCCACTAGAGGATTTCTCAATGAACGAGCAATATGAAATCAGAAGAGTGAGAAATTATGAGAAAATCAACAAGCACACAGAAGTGGAACTGAGTCAAATCCACATTGAGCATCTCAGCTGCTCTAGCTTAATGTGCTAATCCTCCTCGAGGGGGAGTCAAGTGCAGGGAAACCAGCATGGTCCTTTAACATTACAACACTGCAACCTAACCACAGCTTCCTTAGTCACTGAGGTCACACACTGTCTTACAAAGTTGTGCTGTACAACTCATATCTACTGTTTAAGAGTTTCCTGCTCTTAAGTGTGATCCTAGAACTCATCTCTGAGACTCCACACTGAGACACTTGAACTCTTAAGGTACTAGATGAACTCCATGCTGCTCTTTTTTTTGCTAAACATAAAAGGGAAGGAAAAGAATAGGGCTGGGGAGATGGCTCAGTAGTTAAGCACTTACCTCACAAGTACACGGATTCCCAGAACCCAAGTGAATGCTGGAAGGATGCGGCAGCCTGCCTGTAACTGCAGCCCTGGAAGGCTGAGGTAATTGCAGCCCTGAAAGGAAGGCTGAGGCAGGAGATCCCCAGAGCAGGTGGTCAGTTAGACTAGCCATGTCTGTGAGCTCTGGGACTAAGATATCCTGACTGAATAAAATAAGGTGGCGGGGCAATGGAGGATGCTTCCTGACAGCGACCTCGAGCCATTGCCTGTACACACACCCCTTACCCCTCCATACACAAACATGAACACACACATATACACATGAAAATGGAAAAAAAAATTTTAAAGTTAAGATGAGCTATACAGAGAAACCTTGTCTCGAAAAACCAAAAAAAGCCGGGCAGTGGTAGTGCACGCCTTTAATCCCAGCACTTGGGAGGCAGAGGCAGGTGGATTTCTGAGTTCGAGGCCACCCTGGCCTACAGAGTGAGTTCCAGGACAGCCAAAAGCCAAAAGCCAAAAGCCAAAAGCCAAAAGCCAAAAGCCAAAAGCCAAAAGCCAAAAGCCAAAAGCCAAAAGCCAAAGCCAAAAAAAAAAAAAAAAAAAAAAGGATGATGAGTGTTCATTTAAAAACACCAACAAAATTAACAATATAACAGACATATGTAATGTCCCACACTCTTCAAGTCATAATCTGTAGAACATTTCTGGAGCTGGTAGGATGGTTCAGTAGATGAAGAGACTAGCTGCCAAGGTTGATGATTCAAACTTGATTTCGGGGACACATGTAATAGGAGAAAATAAATTCTTGAAGGTTGTCTTCTGACCTTCACACACAAAAAGGGACTGCACATGCCTACACACATTGTTACATGTACACAAACGAAACAGATAAAAATGAAATGATCAAAGGACAAAACATCCCCTGTAATACAGGATACCCATGCAAAACACACATGTTGTTAACAAAACAGAACTTTAAAAATCTTGACAATATTGATATGACTCAGAATTCTTTTACTTACACTTTTATTGGGTTCAGTGGGGTTTTCTGACAGAGGCTGGTGATACTGTCTAGCAGAAGTTAAATCCAATGAGCCTAAGAAAACAAAAGAGTCACTGAGAGCTGTGTTGTGTTTTTTCCCAGGGACTGAACCCAAGGCTCCTCTCATTGTAAGCTCTAGCACTGAGCCACAGGTCCAATCTGAGTGGCTTTTAAATCAAAACCTGACCCTTGGCAACTGTGTAGGCATGTTACAAGAACTGAGAATCTCTATATTAACATAAAAACCAAACGTGAAGACACTTTCCTGTAAGAGAAACTAAGAAGATACATTTAAATACATTCTAATAGAAGGCTTTATAGCTTATTATTCAACAAAATAAGGATGAACTAAAACAGGTAAGTTAAGTAGGTAAGATCTAAAATGTTTTAACAGCAGCCGTGCGTGGTGTGGAAGATCTTTAACTGTAACGCTCAAAAGCAGAGAGGTGAATTTCTCTAAGTTTGAGGCTATCCCAGTCTACAGAGTGAGTTTTAGGCCAAATAGTGCTACACAATGTGATCCTCTCCAATAAAATAAAATGAGATTTTTTAAAAAAATTTTTTCAGGGGCTGGAGAGATGGCAGGGCAGGTAAAAGTGCTTGCTGATCTTGCAAAGGACTGCAGTTTGGAACCTCCAACAGAGACCTCACAACCACCTGTTGAGTCTAGCTCTAGGTAGATTTAGCTACTCAGGCCTCCATGGGTACCTAAACTCATTTCTGGATACCTACACATACACAATTGAAAATGGTATTTTTGAAAATCCTAAAAGATATTTTATCCAATGCAGAAATATTAGGTTTACCAGAAAAAAAAAAAAAAAACTTGTATATAGCCAGGCATGGTAGTGAATGCCTTTAATCCCAGCTTTCAGGAGGCAGATTTCTGTGAGTTTAAGGCCACCCTGGTCTACATAGTGAGTTCAAAGCCAGCCAGGACAAGGGAAACCTTGTCTCAAAAATAAACAAACGAAAAACACTAGATAGATATAAAACTATGATCTAACAAATGGCCTACTATAGTGTACCTCCAAAATGCAACAAGCATATTGTATCAATATGATCCTTAAAATAATCAATACAATTTCATAGCTCTAAACAGGACATGTGAATTGTAAATACAAATGCCACCAAAGACTGAAGCTATGCATTTTTCTTACACCAGATTGGATAGCACTATCCAAAAAGAAAATAGAGCATTTAGTAAATATTAAGCAGACTATACACCAAGAACATACAAGAGGAAATACTCAAGTGTTATTCATTCTACATGCTGAAACCTTGTAGTCTGTTTGGTTATTTTCCCAGAGAACCAAGTTACTTTTCAAACATCTGTACAAACCAGACTTGTATCTTACATTTCAGAATATAAGCACTGACTCCTCTAAATTTGGAGGAATGCACAACCCAAAATAGAGTCAGAAATAAACACTAGCGACTTATAAAAAACGTAAACTGGGTGAGAAACTAAAACACTTGGAATCACATACCACGTAACGTTCCATTTGAGCTAGTTCTCGTTCCAACAGCATGACACTTATTTGCAGACAGTGCTGGAGGGACACGGGGCAGCTCATCTTCCACCACAGCCAATTTATTCCCTTGGTTTGGAGAAACAACCTCTCGCAGTCTCCTCGCTGGCATTTTAAGCCTTTTCCCCCTTTCCAGGCTAAACTCAACGTTTTTCATATGATTAGTCACAAAACAAGTCCTGCGGTTCTTAACAGAGGGAATTCTAGCTTCACGGACTTAAGGACAGTTTCACCTCTTTGAGTATCAGGCAAAGAAGTAATGGAGGAAGTGAATTTGAAAACTATCTGAATTCCAAAAATAATTATGAAACCAGTCGTTAACTTAGAAAGTCTATAGACAAAATATCCACAAAGCTGTACATTTCGACATTTAATCCAGGGCTAAATGCGACAAGAATATCTTGATCCCACTGAGTCTGTTAATGCGCCGAAGCAATCAATTTGAAATGAATTTATGTCTAGAGCAAAAAAAAGAAGCCACGGGAACCGTACGAAAAACGCACTCCTCCAAACCCTGAGCTGTAGCTGAAAACCCCAACAGACGTGGAGGCGGGGTTAAGATTTGTTGCGAAGACCCAGCCGAGCAAGTAACGTTAAAATCCTGTTTTTAAAACATCACCCTCATAGGAGCTTAATAGCTTTCTTTCTACGAGTCCTGACGCAATTTCGGACACCTCAACTTAGTCTTCAACGTCTCCGCAGAGGCCGGCAAACACGCCGTATTGATTTTGATATAATTGCTTCGGTTGTTCGCGGGTCAACTCCGTCCTCCCCGAAAGCCCGCCCTTGAACATCAGTACGCATGCGCGCAAAGATCCGCCCCCCTCCAACCGGAACGGGCATGCACTCTGGTGCTCTTACATTCGTGTCCGGGTGGAAACAAACTTCCAACATAAACGACTTCAAAGAGATGTGACTTTTTATTTTAAAGGCAGCATATCGCGTTTATGTTTGGATAAAGTACTAAATATTCCTAGAGGACTGGCGAATTCTCGATCAGCCCATAAACGCTTTTGTTTATCAAGGGTTATTTACACTGTAGTAACTGCAGACCGTTAGAAATCTAGGGTTAAGCATATTAGGCTTTCTAGAAATTTCGACAGATTCCGTTGCCGTGGAAAAAGAAGTAAAAAGTACAGAGAGCACTGACTAACAGATAATTACAAAAGTTAGTTCTTAGGTGATTTTAGAATTTACTTGGGCACTTGCTTTTCTTCCTGTATTTTCCCACGTGGTGACGAATCTGCGTCAAAGGGTCTAAAGCCATGCTTGACATCACTGCCCCCACGTGTTCTCCGCTATCCAGCGGCGCGGCGCACTCTCGGTACTGACCCTCCGAGCTCAGACTCTACCTGTGCTGCAGCCCTTCATCCCGGTACCGGTGTCAGATGCGAAATCCTGTGGCTAAGTATGGTCCCTTTCCTCTGCTCTCATAATCCCGGGTTCACGGGCAGCGGGGTGGCAGCCTTCACTCGGGAAAGGTAGCGGGCAGGTACGCTGGAGGGAGCCGCCGCGTGCACGCGGGTCGTGGGGCTGCGCAACCGGCAGCGCGGCGCAGCAGGAGGCCGGATCTCCCCGGAGGCCTTGTCACCCAGAGGATAGGAACCCGAGGCCCCGAGACACCGCCCACTGGAGGGCTTGGGAGCTCTCTTTGGGACTGCAAGGTAGCTAGCCACTCGGTGACCTTGAGCTGTCAAGACAGGAGCCCCTTTACAGAAAATCTCTAGACTTCCTCGGCTTTTACCCTGTCTAGAGTACAAGGACCCACAGGTCTCCTTGTGGAGAACGCACTGCTTAGAGTTTTCCCATTACACCTTGCTGGAGGCTTTTTAAAATAGGTTTTAAAATAAAAAAATAGATTAAGCAAAGTAAAACATTGTAAGATATAAACCTAAGTAACAAATCTTATCTCTTATATTTCCACTATTGATGTTCCTACCAGCCTAGGGTAAAAAAAGACACCTTTGGACGGCCTGTTACTTTTGTGTTGTTGCTATTTGATTAGTTTAGTGATTAATCATTTTTATATCTGTTACATATTCTCTTTTGCTGTCCCTTAGGTTTATCTTTTGGTTCATGATTTGTTGTATAAGTATATTAAAAGACCGAATGACGATGTCAGAGCTGCAAGAAACCTTAGACATGAATTGACTTCTGTAATTTCTATATAAAACTTAGATATGAAAAAAAATGACCTTTCCTCTCTAATTTCAAAACGCTGAGCAGCTGCAAAGGCAATTGGTAAAGTGACCCGAGGAAATAATTTGTAACAGAATGACAGACGTGGGGCTCCACCCCAAGTAGTCTTTGTTCACATCTTCCTTGGGGCTAGACTTTGAATTGGGGAAACAATAGGAATCCATTTTCACAGCACTTGGGAGGCAGAGGCAGGCAGATTTCTGAGTTCGAGGCCAGCCTGGTCTACAGAGTGAGTTCCAGGACAGCCAGGACTATATAGAGAAACCCTGTCTCGAAAAACCAAAAACAAAAAAAAAGGGAATCCATTTTCAAATGCTTTTAGCTATGATTAACACTGAGTTAATTAAGAGTTGCCTGTTAATGCTGAGTGTAGTGGCAGCCTCTAATCCCAAGACTTCAGGGACAGAAGCCTAGCTACATAGAGTTCCAAGATAGCCAGGGCTACACCGAGAAACCCTGTCTCAAACAAAACAAAAAGACAACAACAAAAAAACCTTGTCTGTTAATCCCACAACCTAACTAAACTTGCAAATAATCTAAAGGGTCATGTGAAAGATAATAAGATAATAAAACAATAAAAGTTCTATTAAGTATTTGAACTCTCAAAATAAACACTAACTTACAGCCTTTGAACAAAAATAGTTTAGGGGATTATTATTATTCTTTTTAACTGTGTTTCTCTCCCACCTCACTCTCCATCCCGTCCCCCTCTCACCCTTCCCTGAGCACATATATACATACACTTTGTTTCACTGAAGAAGCATTTGTAAATAAGTTTCAGACATCATGAACTTGAGCCTTAATTGTTGCAGCCTGTGCCTCCTGAAGGACATTACAGTCTAGAAATATTATCACACTTAAGATGACATTTAGATTTTCCTAATTATCTAAAAATTGCCTTTATTGTTAGAATAGTAGCCTGCTGCTTTATGTCCTTAAAAGGCGGGGTCCCACAGCTAGAAGTGATCTGTCTGTCTCTTTCTCCCTCCCATCCCTCCTCCTCTGCTGAGAGCCTAGAACTCAGAGATCTGAATGCCTCTCCCAGGTGCTAGGATTAAAGGTATAAGCCACCACACTTGGCAGGGCCCATTTTCTTAAAAAATCTTATTCCAGAAAGGAACTGTGTGTGTATTGACTTTCTTTTCAGGAACTGTCTGCTCCCCTCACCCTCCCCCCAAAAAAAGTTGCTGATTGAGGATGTAATTTAGGGTAACACACTGCACTTAATTACAGTGACAGATATCTCAAACTGCATCAGCCACCCACTCTGTGTAGCATTTTAATGTTATAAAGATGTGTGAGTGCTTGTAAGCATGGATCATGGGGTTGTAGTGCTTGTATCACGGGGTTGCCTGGTGCTTGAGGAGGCCAGCGAGAAGTTCTAGTCCTTTGGGACTGCTCCTGCGGGTTGTGAGCTCTGTGGGTACTGGGAACCAAACTTGCTGCAAGAGCAGTAAGTACTCTTTTGTTGGTTTGTTTGGTTTTTGAGGCAGGGTTTCTCTGTGCAGCTCTGGTTGTCTTGGAACTCGCACTGTAGATCAGACTGGCCTCAAATTCAGAGATCTGCCTGCCTCTGCCTCCAAAGTGCTGAGATTAAAGGTGTGTGCTAACTGCCTGGGTATAAGTACTTTTACCACTGAGCATCTCTCTGGCTCCTCATAGTATTTTTGAAAACTACTCTAATTTTCTTCAGTTATTCTACACTATGGATTTTCCTAATTGTTCCTTCAGGACCAGAAAAAGCCAATATTTTTAGACCAGAATGCCAATAAAGTAATGGTGTGTGCCCTAGAGCATTGCAGCAGGGAATTTTGTCTAGTGGTAGCAGCTAATGTGTGGTGCTAGATTGACCCTTTTAATTATGGTGGTAACTATCTTATCTTACCAATGAGAAGGGATGAGATTCTTCATAAATAACTTATAGAGGTGCTTGAAGACAGTGGATATTTCTTATTTTTTAGCATATACCATAGTTTTATCTAATCAAGGGAACCCCAAGGTTGTGAATCACATTACCAGTTATGCAGGGACTAGGAACAATTGTAGCTTAGAATGTTAGAAGAATCACTTATTATAAACTAAAGTCTTACTAAGATTTAGTTTCAGAGTTGGTACAAATGGACATATTATTTACAAAGAAACAAATGTTAATCCTCTCCCTGCCATGCCCTTATTAATTACTTTTCTTTTTGTTGTTTGTTTTGTTTTTCTGTGTAGCCCTGACTATCCTGGTACTCGATCTATAGACCAGTCTGACCTCAAACTCAGAAATCTACCTGCGTCTGCCTCCCACATGCTAAAATTTAGAGTGCTTTAGTCCTGAGGACTCAAAGGTGTGCACCACCATGCCTGGCTTGTTAATTACCTTTCAGTATTAAATTTCTGGAAATTGTGAGATAAAGAAACAAATTTCAGGATGCTTGGTCACTCTCTTGATCTCCAAAAAATGGATTTCCTTTCTGAGAAGGGAATTTGTTAGTGGGGGATCTATGAATGTTTCTTACAGTTTTTCTCTTAACCCACTAGCTCCCAAATAATTGAAACTAGACTATTAAATTTATTTAACAAGCCCTAAGGGCACAACAACTGAGCAGTATTACTCTATTCTAATCCTCTAAGCTACTCTGGCTACCTTCAGGCAGAATCCCCATGATGATTGCATTTTAGTACTGATCTGCCTCTCTGAACAGCAGGTATTTTCTCATGGTGTCTCCTGGACTCTCTCATTGGCAAATCCTTTTTCTCTCTCTCTTTCCCTCCTCCCCTGGCTGGGAGGAAGTCCAGCCCTATTCTCTCCCCTGATCAGTCATTTACTGATCAACTTCTGTATTGACCGGTCAGGGAATAATTGGGGAGCAATGTTTTACAACCAGATACAGGAACATAGAAGTCAGCATTTGCATAATACAAAGATAATCTTTAGTCGGTGTATAATAACATGCCTACAAAATTAATTTAGGAAGAAACAAGATGCATTAAAGAAGGCCCGGCGGTGGTGGCACATGCCTTTAATCCCAGCACTTGGGAGGCAGAGGCAGGCGGATTTCTGAGTTCGAGGCTAGCCTGGTCTACAGAGTGAGTTCCAGGACAGCCAAGGCTACACAGAGAAACCCTGTCTCGAAAAACCAAAAAAAAAAAAAGATGCATTAAAGAAGAAATTACAAGCTGGCCATGGTGGTCCATACCTGTACTCTCAGCACTAATGAATATCCCAAGTTCCAGTCCAGCCTGAGCTACATAGAAAATTCATGAGACCTCGTGTCTTATTAGACATACTTAATAAATGTGAAGATACAGTAAAAAAAAAAAATCAAGAGAGCTTATAACAGTTGTGTATATTTGGAGAATATTGTTATATAAGTTATATTCAAAATGATAGCTTATTGGTCATATGCAGGTGTTAAAATGTAATGGGGAAAATCCTGGATTTTAAAGGCTGAATGCCTGGAATGGTCCTGAGTTCT